CACTTAATCTATTAATAAAGTTTATTGGAGCAAGACTCCGTTGGATATAAAAAAAAAAAAAAAAAAAAAAAAAAAAATTTGTAATAAAAATTATTTCTGTACATTTTATCCAATCATTCTATTAATCTTAAAAGTCAAGATATTAATTACATCATTTACCCAACAATTTAATCGCACGCATTATTATTGATATGCATGGGACGAATAACTATAATCATAATCATAATCGTAGTCACAATCTTAATCATAAAGAATTTCAACTAGATTCTTTTTATATTCTCTAATATATTTTTTGATCATATTTGGTTGAATACTTTCGAGCTGGTTTCTGCGTATATCAACGAAGAATTCAGACAGATCGTTAATAAAACCATTAACTTCAGTCGTGATATTAACAAACGGAGGATCAAAATTAATTTCAGGTTTTATATTTTGCCATAACAAGGAAAAATTTTATATTTAATAAATATTATGAAGATTTAAATATGTATAAAAGCATTGAAAAAATGAAACTTAAATATTTAAATTTATAAATTCAACATCGATGACATTATAAAGTATTGTTTAAGTAGGATCAAATTCAGCACTGCATCAGAAATAATGAAATCTGAAGATTTTTAGTATCTTCAAAAATATGTGTCCATTATTATTCCAGCTATCTGTCGAAATTGTAGCGTTGATAATTTATTATTAAACGATATAAATATTTAAAATTTATTGAATTTTATATCAATATATATTCCCTTGTATCGCCATTTTCCTTTTCCGTTTGCAATATTGTTTAACAAATCAACATTTGACGAAGATTCTATTTCAAAAGGAGGTTTACCACTAGAGATCTTCCAAAAAATAATTCCTTGAAAAAAATATCAGAACTCTTATTTTTATCAATTGTGTTGAAGAGTTTTATAAATAGATAAAAATTATAAAATAAATAAAAATTATAAAATAAATAAAAAAATTATAAAAATTATAAAATAAAAATTATAAAATAAATAAATTTAAAAAAAAAATTAAAGAATAAATAAAAATTAATTATGAATTTCCAATGATGTCATAGAATGTAAAAACATCAAAACATATGTGAGACTTAATTTTGCATTCCCATCCATTTTTTGAAAATTGGTTTCAAATATTGACGAACCTTCACATATTCGAGGATAATCATATTATTGTTGTTGTTCTTTATAAAAATAAAATAAAATAATTTTAAACAAATAAAACAAATAAGTGGTTAATTAATAATATAATAAAATATTAGCGTAATATTAAATATTTTACCTTTCTTAGTGATGCCATAGAATTTAAGAATATTATCATGAATTTCCAATATTTGATATCTTTTCAATTAAAATATTGAAATAAAAAATATAAACAGCAAATTCAAGTTATAGAATGTATAAAATAAATTAATTCAACTTACTTCATTTATAAAATTATCCAATATAAATTTATCATAATCATTTAAATAAAAATTTTTGGGAATTAAAGGAGTCTTTAAAAATATCAGCAGTAATCAATGTTAAGATAACCCAATAAACTAATCAAGATCTAGACAATCGAAGTTCTGCATTGCGAAAAGTTTAAATTAGATTATTCATTTGCATACACAATAAATTCTGTCATTCTCGGATAACTAATAAAGTAAACTTATTCTTTTGCCACCGATAAATCGACAATCAATAAATATTCAAGAAATATCACAATATCTCCATCTCCACAATTCACAACATGAACTACATTTTTTTTTTCTGAAGAAATAAATATTGATTACAAAATTTTGAAGAATTATATATTCTATTTTTTTTAAAAAAAATAAAACTTTAGAAATCCCTTTGTTAGCTGTTTATGTTTACATTTTGCATCATATTTTTTTTTTATATTTATTTAAATTAATTTGTCAAGAAAAATTTAAAATTTACGTTTTAAAATATTGGTTTTAAAATATGGTTTATTTATATTTATTATATATATTTAAATTTAAAAAAAATTCTTTTTCTTATAAAATATACAGTATATAATTTAATGTTAAACATGATAAAAAAAATGAATATTTATATTTTGATATCTTTTTTTAAAAAAAAATGTCGGTAAATGAATGAATTGAGTGAATTGGATGAGTTGAGTGAATGAAAAAAATCTTATAAATAATATTCATATTTGTAAATATTTCGAATTAGTTAAACAAAAGTTCATATACAAAAATTCTTTTTTGAAATGTGTGTTCTAAAGAAATAAAGAAAATTTGCATGATTGTTGAATGATCATATTTGTTATTTATTAACTATTAAAGTTATTTGAGATCGTTTGATAATTTTAATTGTCAAAGTTGGGTAAATTATGGTTTATTATAAATCATACCATTTTTAATTGCCAATTCAAGTTTCTCTTCACTCAAAGACTTTTTAATTAATATTTCACCTTTTAATATTAAAGATTTAAATTTACCAAATTTAATTCGAACTTTTAATCGATGTCCCAATTGAACATGATTAAGTTCACGAATATTTTCGAAATCTGGCGTAATATCACATTTCGGAATTTCCAATTCCAAATCTAATAAATATCGATTTTCTTTAATGCCCCCATCGTTTTCATCGACTATCACTTCCTTAATAAATTCTTTTCCATTATATACATTATTGGCAACCTTATATTTTGACAAATTAACGTTATATCCGGAATCTTGTAAATTTTGATATTCTTTAATTCCTAATCGTACCTCTTTTATTGAAGAAGTAAAAGTCGAGGGTAAAATTAATGAAACTAAAAGATTTAAGGTTGATCCCATGTTATAAGTTTTATCTTCAAGTTTCGCATCACAAATAATATCTTCTATTTCATTTCCACCTCTTCCACTACCACCACCAAAATTAGTTAAATTATTCCATCGACTATTATTATATTTAGGTCGAGTTAATGATTCGGGTTGTTTGACTAAATTTGGTAAACTCCATCGTGTGATTGGACAAATGCATCTAATCACTTTATGAAGATCATCACTAATATGTACGGTAGCGACGAACATATATATAACTCCACAAGTTAAACCATTATTGGCTATATTGTTATAAGTAAAGGAAGGAGGCAAATCGTCGTCAAGTTTAAATGTAAATCTAAGATCCAAATCAGAAACTAGTTCACTATTATTATTATTATTATTATTATTATTATTATTATTATAGTCATAAGAATTATTATTATTGTCGTAACCTGCCGCCGACCAAAGAACGACATTCGATTCAAAAAAAACATTATTTACAGTTTCTATCGAATCCAATTCTCCATATTCACCACCTTTTAAAGCCAAAGTAATTTTTGAAATATTTACTTGACGATTTTTAGGATAATGTAAATGAAATCCGCCGGAAACTGTGGAAGGACCGATACCCAGGTAACCCATTTGAAATCCTGTACCATTGGGAGGATAAGAAAAGAAACATTTTGAGCTATAAGTCTTGTAATCGGATCGATTGGGACCTTTGATTTTTGTAGCGTTTAAAGACATTGTTGCTTATATTTTATGAAAGTAAACACTACTTTATATATATTTTACATATAAAAAATTTCTCGGGGAATCAAAATTTTTTTTTGTTTTCGTAGGCTTTATCAATTTTTGAGAGAAGAAAAGATAGAAAATCGAGAACTAATTGGTCAATTCAAATCTGTACAATTAAAAAATAAATTTCTTGAAAGGAAAGGGATATTTATATATGTTTTAAATTTGGTAAGAGTGGCAACACATCAATTATCTATTTATTTTATTTTATTTTATTTTATTTTACTTTACATTATTCTAATTTATGTTAATTATTTTACTTTAGTATTATTTTCATTATTTTAGACAATTATTTTACTATTATTTTATTACTTTTTGCTATTGTTAATTTTATTCGGATGTATGTATATTATATTTACATATGGGAGGATTTATTTGATTTCTAATGGCTAAAAAAGAAAATTGATAGACGTTTTATAATAATAATTCTTTTTTTGGATTTTCTTAGATTTTGTAATCAAAACAAATCCGCCAATATGATATGTAAATTAATGTTTATTTTTTTTGTGAATTTCTTGTTATCCTTTTAAAGTATTAGGTGATGTTTCAGATTCATCCATTTATTTATTTTTCTAATTGGTATGTACCATTCTATGTAAGGGAAGTGATATAATTAAGGAACAATACTAATTTTTATTTTTATATTTTTTACAATCATTATTTTTAATATTTCGGATATTAAATTTCTATTATAACCAGATATCGAAATTCTGGTTGTTGGTTAATTTTCATACTTTTTTTTTTGTAAAATTAGCCAAATTTTTTAACTCTATCACTTTTCTAAATTGATAGCTTTAGATAATTTTTTTTTGATAACTTTCTTCTGCATACACACTTAAATATAGCGTAAATATCAATAAATATCAAAATTAGCACAATAATAATTTTTTTTTGTCATAAATTTTGTAAATTCGATGATGCTAACCACTCGACATTGCAATATAATTCAGACCTTCTTCTTGATTTCTTGTATTTCGCAATGGATAATAAAATATTATTTTCACGATGAGATAACCATCTAATCATTAATATCTCGAATTAAAGTACAGTATACTAATAAATTTGAACATATTTTTATACATTTGTATACATTTAATACATTTAATTGCATCGCTTATTCAAATGTAAACTCTTCTTTCTTTTCTAACTTTTTTTCTTCTCTTTTCCTTTTTTCTGATTGAATCCATTTTATTTATATCATATTTAAATTGCACGCGCGCTTCTTTCTTTCCCCCCTAAAAAATAAATAAAATGAAATAGCCACAACACGAAATGTAAATTTAAATGTGTGAAACGGTATTTTCTCTAAATTAAAAATAATCTTTTTTTTTTATTAGACAAATATTTCCGAATGGTTTATTAAGTTCCAGAAAATAAACGACGACGACATTGTGATTTTCAATCAATAAAAATAAAATACATGATTTAATAATAGGTTAATAGGTTATGGAGACCAGTTGATTGGAAATTTATTTCACGTGCAAGTAATGTGACAAATGATAAGTTGTGACAAATATGGTTTCCTCATTGTAAAAATTCCAAGTCTCAGGATATAATGAAAATTGATATTGAAGTGTGTGAAAAAGTTTCCTAATAAAAAACATTGTTAATATTAGATTTAGTATGACAAAATAATGAATTCAATAATGGAAATTCAATTACCAAATTTTCACTACCATTCAACGACAAATTTGGATTAAGATCATCACTTGCTCGCGAAAAAACTTGATAAGCGTTAATTATGCAGTTCAAAAAAAAAGGATACAATAAACGGTTTATCTTTAATTTTTTTTGTAACGTTTGTCGGTTGTTGGGATTTATATTCCAATTACCCAATCCTTTGGCTCACTTTTTGATCTCACCATAAATAAAATACAATTGAAAATTTTTTAGTGTTTCAGGTTTGATTTATTATTGTTCTCATCGATTTATTATTTATTTTAACTACCAAAGGGGGTCAACCTCCTTTCAGCATATTGTTTCGAATTTTTTATCACCTTTTTTCTTTTAATTTTGCTAACTGTTGAAATATTATTAAAATATTATTAAAGTATTATTAAAGTTTGCGTGTGCACACGATTTCGTGTTAACATTACATTTTTAAATATTTTATTAGTATTAAAAAATAAAATAATAACTTTTGAATTAAGTTTTCAGCCTTAATTTCCCAATCCTTCTATTATTCTATAGTAAAAGATCTTTTTACAATGACAGTACAATATTACTAACTTGCGAGGAAAATATTATTATTACCAATTATATCATTTTCAATATGCAATATATAAAGATAAGAATAATAAGAAAACTATAATAAATAACAATAATAAAAATTAATTTAAATTAATTTATTTGTATCTTTAAAATTTAAAGTTTATTGGGCAAGATTCCGTTGGATGTAAAAAAAATTTAATTTAAATGATAAATAATAAATAATAAATTGATAAATTTAAAATAAAAAATAGATGAAAGCGTGCATATTCATTAAAAAATCCGATTAAATACTCTAAATTCTGTATAATTTAATTAATAAAAATTTTAAAAAATCATGATCCTCTTCTTTTAATTTTATAACAATGCTAATATTATAATTAATCTTTTATTTGTAATTAATTCATGAAATAAATATAAATAAATAAATAAATAGTAATTAATCTATATATATTTATTTCATCCATTTTATATTTTGAGAGAAATGCAGAAATACGCGTACTACTATTATGATTAATCTAATATTATTCTTCTTTGTATACAATAATCAATTATTATTATTATTAATTACTTTTACCTACATTCTCTTTCTTTCTTTTATTCCTTCTTTCTTTTTTTCTTTATTCTTTACTTTGATCATTATTTAAAAAGAAAAAAAAATAATTCGGTTGTTAACCTAACTTGGGTTTGCCAAAAAACTCACAATATCAATACATTTACATTACTCTCATCTCTTTTCAATCATTATCATCATAATTATTATGGTACCATAATTATTTAGCATCGTTCATATGATCAATAAATATTTTTTTTACTCTTTAATTGTTTAATCGTGTCATATTTTTTTCTTTAAAATAATAAACGTAATTCTTTTTTTGGAATTTTGGCGCATAGAACTTATTTTATATATAAGCTATTTTTTAATTTAAATAATTTAAACAATAATTATTAGAAAATATAAACGATTTATATAAATAAATTATATTAAAATGCAAAATAAATTTATATACGTGATAGAAGATAAATATTAAAATATATTATCTATATCTACGTACTATTCACCGTATATACAGTATGTACGTAATATATAGTATATATTTCTTCCACATTAATAGTATTTATAATATTAACAACATTTACAATATTTATCATATTTATACCAATATATATATATATACTGTTTGTAATATTATGCATGCGTAATAGATAAATCTTTCATTTTCTTTTCATTTTATTTTATTTGACTTTATTTACGCGTGTAATTGGCGTTCGAATTATAATTGTAAAACATCAATTTAAATATTAATCTACATTTCAGCAGATCAAGAACATAATCGGATTACAATTATTATATTCGCGAAGAATATTCAACATTATATCAATTTATATTATATCAAAATTAGATCAATATATAGATATTCAGTAGATGTAAAAAAATTTTTTTTGGTGCCCCTTTTTTTATTTTGTTTACTTTTCTTTTTTTTTACAGTTTTCACTGTCAACTTTTCCCAAGCATTTTTAAATATTTTTCTTGTGTACTTGATTTTTCTCATATTCGTTTCATTGTTATCACCGAAAAAAAAATGATAAATTAAAAAATGAAGCTATAATAATTAAATTATCCATTATTATTATTATTACTATTATGATTATTATATATTACTATATTATTCTTATTTATTATTATTCTTATTTATTTAATATCCCATTTATTATTTATTATTTATCATTCATAATAACAGATGATAATTATAATGATTTTTATGGAAATTATTAAAGAATTTCTTATCAAGTCTTTAACAAGAAATAATAGCAACTAATATTTTCGAGATTATTATTATTCTATCATTATTCTTATCTCTTTTTTATTTTTTTTGGTACAATCTCATCTTTTCTCAAACATCAATAACAATCCCTTTCTACATCTCTTTTTTCTCCAACAATAATAAAAATAACTAATAATAACTAAAAGAACAATATCATTAACGAAAGTTCAAGAATAAAATTATGATAAAAGAGAAAACCTGAAAAAAGTAATGTTGTATATTATTATTACTATTACTGCACTATTATCATCATTTATTATTAGTACATTATCAACTATTTTTACAATAAAAAAAATAAAAATAAATTCGAATCATAAATAAGTGATCGTCTATCTTTTAATGTCACGTGATGTTTCGAGCTATTTACCTACAGTACATCGTGATGGAGGATATTCGCATGAATTTATTAAGATATACCTATTTGCGTTAGATAAATATAATAACCCTGGATAAGCTTATCTATATATAATTATGGATAAGCTTATCCACATATAAATTATGGATAAGCTTATCCACATATAATTCCACATATAATTCTGGGTAAGCTTATCCACATATAATTCTGGATAAGCTCACAGCATATTCAACACATAATGAGATAAGCTCACATCTTATTCAACATGTAATGAAATAAGCTCATAGCTTATTCAACATGTGATGAGATAAGCTCACACCTTATTCAACATGGGATGAGACAAGCTCACAGCTTATTCAAGATAAACTCACAGCATATCTAAGATATACTCATTCCATTATTTATATATTTCTATGATTTCACTTATAATTTAAAAAACTTAGAGCACTTTTTTACTAAGGTATTTCTATCATAAATATAAAGACCTTGTTCTTGGTTACAAAATGATATACGTTTTATTTTTGTAGCATCAAGTTATTGCAGTTTAAAGTCAAAGTCTT